CTGCCAGGCGACACCAGGTGGCGTCTGTTTCCATTTTTTAACATGAAGTTAGCATTTCTTTAATGTACCTATTCTCTGTGGCGGAACATGCACTTTCTATTAGTAACTTTAAAATTCCACCATATTAAGTATTAAAGTAAAAGTAAAGTTTTTTAAGTTAACGTCTTCTTTTTACTACTGATGCTAATCTAGACGGGACCGACTTTGTTTACGCGGAATCCGAAATCCTCGGCTATATCATTTTCAGTGGCCTACCCACTTGAAGAGTCTCTATAAATCGGCTCTTCCTCACGAGTCACGAGATATCCGATCTCATCCGGCCTCGAATTAGCATGAATGAGCTGTATATGTCAATAGATTTTGCACACTCCTGCCATAGAACCTGTATGTTTGCCCATATTAAATATAGAATTAAGCCTCTCTACGAGGGTCTATTTTTCACCTGCATGGTCGGGCCCTAAGGCCCAAGCAAGAAATCGGGCCCTATTTTTCAATAAAATTCAAAAATTCAAGAAATTATGAATATTTCACAACCTTTAACGGGCCCCCCAGACCACCGGGCCCAAGGCCCGGGCCTTATGGGCTTTATGGTAAAATAGGCCCTGCTCTTTACACAGCAAGGCACAAGAACAATTAAAAAAGTAACTGAGCATTTGTTGTAAACAAAAACATTGCTTTTAAAAAAGAAAAGCTTATTTATATTTAGAAGGATTTTATCTGCATGGAAAATACATAAAAATGAATGTTCTTTTCTTTAAGGAAAAAAATAAGAGTACTCCTATAAATTTATTATACTATAGAGTACACGCACCAACACCGCATTACGATTTAAGAGCGTGTTTAGTAGATGCTGAAGAACTTTACAAGTCAAGATTTTTTTTATCTGAAGTTTCTAAGGTGCGGACAAGCTGGAGATACGAAGATAAACTTGCGAGAGAGAAGGAGATTGCAATCATTTTACTTTCTGTTTCGATATGTGTAGACGTAAGATATGTTGCAAATGATACTGAAACAGATAAATTCCTTTGAAATAGGAATGCTACACGTATTGGAATAATGTAAACATATTATCACAACATAGAATCCAATCGTACGAGTATAATCACTATCCTATACCTTAGAGAAAGGAACAAAATCAATACAATCGTTCGAATACTTCCCAAGTTTAAAGAAAATTTATAGCGTCAACTGTAAATCAGCACCAAACTTACTAAATAATCACTATCAGCCTTTTATAACATGAATAGGTATAAACTATAAACAATTTGAGGGTGTAAGTTGTAATTTCAACAATATTACCATGATTTTTTTTAAGTTTATCTTAAGTAAGTGCAAATATTTTTGGGGTAGCATATTTCGACCCCAGAAACACGTCTATACGGTTTTTTATAAAAATAAAATTTTGAAATTTTTAAAAAAAAATTGGAAATGTTTTTAGTTTTTAGCTAAAAGACATAATTTCTTGATAATATGGCAACATATATTTTTTAAAATTAATAATTTAAGAATTACCAACAGAAAATTTGATTTTTTATATGAGACACCCTGTATAGTTTTTATTTATTGAAAATAATTTAAAATTACCTTTTCAAAAATATAGCACACTTTATATTTTGCTCGATTCCTCTTTGGGATAGAGAGATAGTCTTCGGGTAGAGTTTTTAAAACTCGCCCACTTTGAATAAGTAGACTTTGAACGGCGCCGGCTGTAATGCAAAAAAATTCTAGCTGTGAGCAGGAATTAAAACACAAATAATATTTGCCAATGAGAGATGTAGAATTTCATAACAACTTAAACTATATTTAACATCATCAACATATTTAAATTATATCTAATAAGAATAAAAATAAATAGCAAACCAATACATGAGATTTTGCTACAGGTGTTCGACATATCGACCGTCTTCTTTTATGGAAAGACGGGACCGTTTTTGAACAGTTTTCGTGGAATTCATAAGGGGGTGAAAGATACCCTCGCATAACCGCTAAGTACTTCTAATTCTTGTCTAGATTATACGGGCAATTTAAAAATAAGAACCTTTATTCTTCCGCTAAGATAAAAATCCATAGGCTCTAAGTTCGGCGGCGTCGACGGCCAACGGCTGGGATCTTGATTAGCTATTCAATTACTCTCGAAATTGGCTGCAAAAATTTGCTGATAACTTCAGCATTCTGAGGCGGTGCCTCGTCTTGTTGGAAAAATATGTTTTCGAGTTCCATTAGGGGCAAATCATCAATAAGGTGTCCAAAGTCTACTAGTTAAAAGTGTCAAACTTTTAAAAATTCTGTATTTCGAAGAGGACTAAAACAAAATATCAAGAGTGCTATATTTTTGGAAAGGTAATTTTAAGTTCTTTTCAGCTAATTAAAAATATACAGGGTGTCTCAAATAAAAAATAAATTTTTCTGTTGGTAACTCTTAAATTATTAATTTTAAAAAAAATATACTTAAACAATTAAATTCTACGTAAAAAGGTGCTTTGAAAATGTTTTCACAAAAATTCAAAATTTTCCATACCAAAAAAGTTACAGCGATTTGTTAAAAATGCACATTTTTTAAAAACACCCCGTAAGTCCGAAACGGTAACAGATATCGATGTTCGGTTTTCACCATCATGAGTTTGATAAAAATTTAGCTCCAGACACCGATATTAGTTTTCGTCTATCTCCTATAGAAAAAGGTGTTTCCCTTTGACCCAAAAAAGCGTCCAATTTGACCCACCCTGTACATAGATTCTTTATTGAAGTGAACAGAATGAAAACACGAAGAACAAATTAAAGTATGTTTCTTGTGGGTAATAAAAACGTTACTAATGAATTACGTAACAGTTCCAAACAGAAAAATAACGAAAAAGTACAGCGTGTCGACAAAGTACCGATCTCCGATCCTTTTGCGGAACCGTCTAGGGAATAGTCGTCGGCGTAAGTTTTGCTGGAAGCAGGTGTGCTACGCCCGACTCAAAATAAGAAGACCGAAACGGCACATTCCACGTTAAATGGCACGACCACACAAAATGGCACTAAAATTGTCGCCAAGGCAAAACGAGAAATTGCTAGGAATGTGCCGCAAAGAGAACTGGATAAAATTAGCATCAAAATATTTTAGTTATCACTAGGGAATTAGTACCGAGTCTAAAAATAATTTAGTAATTATTTCTTAGTTAGAATTTAATGGTAAATCGGTTAATCTTACTTTAAGTCGGATTAATTTTATGTGGGTTTCGCGTATAACGGTTGTTCCAGGGTTTCTCAAACTCATATAATTATTATAAGCATTTAAATACTTTTGTGTAACTACAACATTATATGTTGTTTTTTTTATTTTTTGGTTGTAAATAATAATCAATGATTAAAATATCAATTCAGTGAAAATAGTTAGAGAAAATTCGTGGGTACTGTATTAAAATGGTTTAGTTACCATTAGATAATCACTACTAAAGAGTCTAAAAATAATATGCTATTTTATCTTGTATATTTGTGAAATACTTAGACTTTTTTCGGGAAATGAACCCATTATAAAACTGACTATTCTTGGTGTTTGTTTATGTATGTCATCATTTTCAGCTTATTCAACTATTTCTAATTATGGTGTAGCCTCCTTCACATACTCTCGTTGTAGTTGGGCTCATTGTTGACTGTTGTTGGCTATGCGGACCCAATTTATCCCTGCTAATTTCCTAATATCATGGTCCCATCTCAGGTTCGATCTTCCTCTAGGTCTCTTAATTCCTCGTTCATACCAAACTGTAATTTTTGTGGTCCATCTGTTGTCTATTCTTCTTGCCAGGTGTTCTGTTCATTGCCATTTGAGGGATTTGAGTCTGTGGATGACATCTATTACCTGGGTCTTTTGTCGTATTCACTCTATTCTTTTACGGTCTCACTTGGTTATTCCCAGCATATTTCGTTCCATTGAGCGTTGTGCGACCTGAAAATTTCTTATGATGTCCGTTTTAAGCGTCCAGGTTTCGCATGCATAGGAGGTCATGACTGGTAGTACACATTGGTCAAATGTTTTCTTCTTTGTAGAAAGAAGGAAAGTCTTTGATTTTTTTTTGGTTGTAAGTTCTGAGAAATTTTTTGAGTGTCTTAGACCGTTGGAGGATTTCCATTCTAGGTTACGGATTGGGTTTTCTCGGTTCTTTAGTTCCGCTATAAGTTGGTTTCAACTAAGGATTTTTTTTGACTTAGGAAGGCAGAATGGTTCTTGTCCAGTTAGTAGAATGTTTGCTCCTTTTCTAGCTAGATCGTTTCCTTTTTCACTGTCTTGTATCCCTTGGTGGGCTGGTACCCAGAGTAGAAGGACCCAAATCTTTGCCATATTTGTTCAGCTTCTCTCGATATTTTTTAACCAACTTCGAATTTAACCATCAATTCGTTGATAGCTTTTAATGCTGCTTGACTGTCGGAAAAGATGGCTATTTCTTGATTCCGATAGTTCCTATCTAAGATAAATTGTACGCATCTTTCGATAGCGTAGATTTCTGCCTGAAGGATACTGGGAAAGATGTCCAATAGGTTGTAGTAAAAAAAAATAATTTAACTCTATCCTTACAATTGTATCTAACTGTAGCCATATCGGCATTGGCCAGAGAGTTGGGATTGTAGTGTTGTGAAAAATTTAATATACATATCACCTAGATGTAGTTGTGATGTGTGCCAACTAGGGTCGTGTATTTGACCTGTCAATTTTTTTTTCGTCAATTGGCCAGTCAATTGACCAAAATGATTTTAAAAGTACAACGAAACAAATAAAAACAAATTAATATTTTATTTCACGTATCCATTGAAATAATATAGAAATAAAGAATATTTCCTTTTAAAATAAAAAAATTAAAATTAGAAAATTAACAAAAACATATTTCTATTTTAACTTAAAATAAACAGAGAACATTTAAAAGTAATTTTAAAAATAATTTTATTCTAATTCAAAACAAACAATTAATTGACATAAGTAGACAGTGAAGTTCTCATCTTCATCTTCATAGTCGATGTCATAGATGTCGATGTCTGAAGACGAGTCGATGTCTGAAGACGAAGACATGTCAGCTTCAGAAGATGAACTTACATTGAGGTCAGTATATATTTAAATTAGATTTAACATAAACAAATTTACGAGATCTTGTAGTGGTCAACCTGTTTCCTTATTATGAACAATTCCCTAAGTTGACACGTGTGTCCAAACAAACAAGTTGACAAACTGTCCCACCAAGTTGATGGTGTAATATGTGACGATGTTTTAAGGTGCGTATTCAACAATTTCAGATTCATTGATACCAAGTTGTACGATCAACGTAGTCGCACGTTAGAGTTCTTCTGGAGCTAGATTCTCTACTTTATATTATCTAGGATCGAGTAAATATGCTGCATTGTGCGTGTCGGTACAGGCCATATCAATTCTTCTTATTACTGATGCAGTTGTTATTTTTTCCAATATTTTTATTGAGATTCTCCGAATCGCTAAGTATCGTATTCCTTAAAAACGGTTATAGGTAAATTGGACATCACAAACGCATAATAATTATAAAACACCATTTTATTATTAAATACTGATAGATAACATTCTACATATGTAAGATTTTATTTAAGACATTTGACCGGTCAATTGACCACAGTCAATTGACCAGCTCCAATACTAGTGCCAACAGCCAACCATCTTTAAGCTCTTCCACTTTCTAAGTCTGTATCTGCCACTATGTATGAAAAAAAACAACGCTTTATTGTTCAAAAAGCCAAAACAGCTTCATCGACAAAGCAAAACAAAAAAGCACAAAAAGAAATATACAAATAATAAAAAAAATGTCATACAATACAAATCAATTCAAAAAAATTTACGTCATAAAATTACAAATAAAACATATATGGACATTGCAGAACACAGGCGTATTTAGAAAATTTTACAAAAGGATAACTGTAAATGGATAAAATAATGTTATATTATATCATAAAATCAAGAGTTATAAAATATTAAATATTAAATACTAGACCTTTAACCAGTGTGTGAGATGATCAAAATTTAAAATTCAAAATTGTTCATGATTAAACATCAACAAAAAAGTCGTTTACTGCATATAGGGCTCTCTCCCAGTAAGTATAATTTCAGAGCTTTGCGAAATGCGGGAAAGAATGAAAGTGACTTGATATTCGAAGGCAAATGATTGTACATTTTCTTGGCATTGTACAGTATTGAGCTCTTAACTAGTTCTGAGCTCGGGGTTGGCAGATAAATATCGTGGTCCGCATTCCTAAGTGGATAGTTGTGAGAAGGCCTTTCCGAAATAGAGAATATGTGCTTGCGGATTAAGCAAACGGATTCAAAAATGAATAAGGAAGGAAGAGTCAGTATTTTGAAATTTTTAAAGAAATTCTGGCAGTGAGTTCTACTGTTTAGTCCCAATAAGTATCGAATTGCTCTCTTTTGAAGGTTGAAAATACGATCAAATTTTGTCGCGCAGCAAGTACCTATGACTTATATAACTTAGGAATACCTTATAAGAATAAGAAAAATAACACCATTTTTACCTGTATGAAGAATAATGCTACTGCAGAATGTATGTTACAAGTAGTTTTTGTCTTAACTATGTTTACCTGCATAGTTATTAAGTAAATTATCGATGTTGCTCACTTTCCTCGTTTCCTACTTAGCGTATCGACCGACCCATTAATTATCAAATTAACCCAAATAAACTTCCAGAGAGTTTCGCTGTCGGCCTGGATCCGACACTAACTACCATTAGATGGGCTAATCTAGAACACAAACTCGTTTAACAACATTATTTAATTAGGAAAATAGCTAAGCCATCTCCTTAATTATTATAGTGATAAATTAGCATTTTCATTGGATACTGAACGGAGTTTACGAAAAAACGACTAATTTTCTAAATTAACTTCTTCGGAAGATAGTTTTTCTTAACAGTTGAATCATTAACAGTTTGGTCTCTTTAATTGGAACTTAAGAGCAATAAAATACTTGAAATATAAATTTAAATGTAAATTTTTAAATGTGATGGAGTTTTTTCATATCGTTAACTTGATCAGAAAAATTAAAATCTGGGTTTTATCGCGTTATATTTTTTTCATACTTTAAGGAGAAACTTTATAAATGTCTATACAGGGTGTTTCAAAAAGCATGTGTCATCTCTCGTGCGGAGATTCTCCACATAAAAATAAGACTTATTTTTCATATCAACATAGGTCCGATTCTGTTTTGTTTCGTAGCTACAGGGTGTTAAAGCCTTAATATTTTTTCGATTTATTATAATTTTATTCCAAGAATTTTTAACGTTTCCAATTAAATTTTGAGGGTTATTTTGAAAAGTTGCAACATATTTTAAAGCTAAAAAAGTGTTGACATATTCATCAGGGACGTGCATATGGGTTATCACTGGAATATTTTTCTAAAAAAAGCATGTACGCCACTGACTTTTTTCTTTTGTTATCGAAATAGTGTAAGCAGTTTAATGCCGATTAAAAGTTGTCTCTTGATATTTTGTCGATTTCGGCTTCCTTGATGAGATTAACGCAATTTTATTAATTTGCCTTGATCCAAGTCTAATAGCAACCTTTAAAAAATTTAATATCATTAACTTGCGACAGTTTTATTAAGTACTCATTGATTCCTTCTCAAAAAAAATATGAAAAAAGGTTCCTATAAACATGGGTATGGAAATCCATAGTTTTAGAGTTACAGGATGTCAAAACATTTCAAAATTAGGTTTTTTGTAATTATCTTAAATAACATTATTTTTTTTATTTGAAATTGCTGTAGGTTGGACTAATAGTAATAATATTTAATAATAAATGAGGTACAATATATAATTTATTAATTTAATTTTCATTTTAATCATAATAATTATGATTAATAAAATTGCGTTTATCTCATCAAGGAGGCCGAATTCGACAAAATATCAAGAGATAACATTTAATTGACATTAAAGGGACTACTCAATTCTGATATCAAAACAAAAAAAGTCAGAGGCGTACATGTTTTTTTTTGTTTTGAAAAATATTCCAGTGATAACCCATATGAACGTCCCTGATGAGTTGATCGACATTATTTTAGGATTAATAAAATATGTAACACTAATAGCAACTTTTATCTTCAAAATTTCATTCAAATCGAAACGCTAAAAGTACTTGGAAGAAATTTATAATAAATCGAAAAAATATTAAAATTTTAACACCCTGTAGTTACAAAACAAAGCAGAATCGGACCTATGTTCATCTTATTTTTACGTGAGGAATCTCCCCACGAGAGATGGTACATTTTTTGAAACATCCTGTATATTTGTGGGTGGTTCATTCCTTGGAAGAAACAGTACCGGTTTATGATATACGTATATGTTAAAATCTAAAGTGTTTTTGAATAGAAGATTTAGACATTTTAAATAGTTTTTTTGTTTGTTTTTTTTGCGTCTGACAACGAGATGAAATTAACTAGAGGAAACGAGAGAAAAATATAACAATACGTTTTAAGTTTACTTAATGGAACGCTGTCGTTGGCTCACCTATCAGTTCGTATATCGACAGGAACGTATTTGTTGTGACAATAACGATTAATGGCTTGCAGTTTATTCATCCTGCAACCTGACAGGCTATACCGCGTACCGCTGTTTGTCTGAACTACTGTTTTATGACCTAGACTATTGTGCTTCAAAACTGCAGAATGTTTGTTCTTTATTGAAGTGTCACAAGGGTTCGTGTTAAGCGAAATTAATTTATTATCGATCGTAAATTACTCATGCTCGTGCACGTATTGGCGGTTCGTATATTAAATTAACAGTTTTGTCAAACTATAAAAATGTAAAGCTTAATATATTTTCATAAATATTTATAGACTACGAGATAAAAACTCTTATTGACAATGTAATAGAACATACTCAGGTTCGTTCAACCCAGTGAAGAGGTAATTTCTGTTTGATCAATAGACAGGACCTACGTTTTGTTAGAAATATGATTTTTATTGGTTAATCTTGAATGGGTCCAATAATAACAATGTTAAAGAAATTCCAGTAGAGTAGGTTATGAGTGGAATGAATAAAAATGAAGTACATGCTAATACTACAAATTTAAGGATCTACTTAGAAATATTTTCTTCATCATGAAGCATTTGGTCGGTTCAGGTAGAACTTGCTTGACGTTGGAGTATTTACTACACTGATTACAGTAACGTTTAGTCTATAGTATATTCTTCAACATTTTTGTAGCATCTTCTCTGTCTATTTGCTTTGTTTATTTTTCAAATCGGTAATATTCGTAGAAAAGTTTAAACAACTATGCACGTAAAATTTAAGCTAATGTTTATAATATTTGTGATAAGGAATCCAAAAATAACTCTTTTAAAATGTAAAATTCCCCCTTCCGGATACTGCATTGTCAATGTACGTACTGTCTTGATCATTTGGTTTCGTTTACTTCTGTCAGAAATGTATTAAGCCCCTATCTCACAACGACGTCGCGTCGTGTCGCCAGCTACACTGATTGACACTTCAAACGACCAATGGGAGCTGTACTAAATTTAAAATTGACAGCTGTTTGAATTTTGTAGGTACAAATCTCATTGGTTCTTTTGACGTGTCGCTGACGACAGTCGCTGTTTTGAGAACCGGGCTTAACGGGGCTTTAGCCAGGTAAGATACGTTTTCCCCATAGATTTAGGAAGAGTCTTTGGTTTTCCCTATTAAATCTACAAAAACCGAAAATAATTTTTTTTTTAAACAAAACTAAAACCGTAGTCTGCTAAATGAAGCTGCTATTAACCCAACTTCCCTAAAGCCAAGTAAATACTACAATTTCTTCTTGAAATCGAAGTTTTTACTGTAAAGAAGTCGGTGCTCCAAGGTGTAGTACTTAAGTCAGTTCCACAACAGTACTACTCAGTGTAGTAGCGTCGCGAAAATTTACTTTATAGTATCTACTTCAAAATGTAGTTCCTTCTTAGTTTTGAAGCATTTACTACGTAGACGATACTAATACTTTTAGTATTAGCATATGCTTCATTTTTATTCATACCACTCTATGTAAATCAAATACTAAATGTGCAAATAGCTAATAGTATATATCTCGCTATATATA